TCAGTGCTTTGTGATCACTCACACCATGTGATTCTTAAGTGCACTTCTTTTATCTGACAGCCCTAGTGAAACAGATATACAAATAATTAGTACAAATTGTAGCATGGAGGAGAATGATATTAACTTTGTGAAGACCCAGAGGCATGACATTTGCGTTAGACATTGAAGAATAAATGAAATGCCATCACAGAAAAAGAAGGGTACAAAAGCAGCTAGGTTAAATATGAAGAAATGTAAGAGATACAAAAAACACATGGATTGTTCAAAAGTTATAAAAAAAAATGAATACTGGACATAACTTGCTGAGGTGAGAAAAGAAGAGGGCAAGGCCAGTATATGAAATCCCTTGAATGCTAAGGTGAGTAACCCCTTATAGTTGATGTATCAGAAAAAAATAACTAGAATAATTTCCTGAAATAAAACATACTAAAATTGTTACCAGGATTTAGACAGTATACAATGTTAGGGCCTCTAACATAACAGACAAAGCATTATACGTGAGTGAAGCCATCAGAGATATGCAGCTCTGTTAAACCTCCAAATAACTGCAGTTGCATAAGTGACCTCAGATAAGACAGAAAAAGAATGATCCACTGCACCCAATCCAGATTTCCAGATTGTAGAAACTATAAGCAAATAATTTGTACAAGATATGGGTGTTGCCATAACAAAAAGTTAAAACTTGTGGTATTTGCTTTGGGACTGAACAGATGGTAGAGGCTGAAGAATAGCAAGGAGACTGTGAGTAGAGGCTGGAAGACCAGTAAAGATATTGTTACTGGGAATATTGAAAGGTCAACACATGTTATGTGTTGAGCAATTAGCAATAATGCTGCCTGTGATAACTTGGAAGAGAAAAAAGCACTTCATAATGTTGTTGATCAAATTAAAGAGGTTTTCCAAAAGCTGTTGAAACTAGCAACCAGCATGTGGGCAATTCTTAGAGTGGATGACTAACAGTGTAGGGGCGAGATACTAGTAAGAAAGCCAAAAGAGACAGAGAACCAATCACAGGGAGCAGAGCTGTGCTCTAATAGAAAACATTCCCTGCCCCTGTAGTCGGAACCCTGAAAACACCAGCTGCACTTCACACTCACAGTGGATCAGTCACTGTTGTGTTCCCTGCCTTTTGGAATGGGAGAATATCTTCCAATTATCCTGCCCCTGTTCCATGTGTGTTGTGGGTGTAGGGAACAATAACTTACTTTTAGGTTCTTAGTTCTGCAGATCAACAGGGATCTCAGCAATGAAACATCATTTGAATCTGGAAAAGATTTCAATATGCTATTCTGGAGTTCAACATGATGTCATAATGGGACAAACCTTTGGGAGGGTGTGGGTTTTTGTGCAAGATGAAGAGACATTAATTGGGAGAATCCAGATAGAAGACTGTGAAATAATATGTTGCCATGGTGGCAGTCCCCTATAAATATAATTTCAGGTATTCACTCTCAGTGCTGTCTCCTCAGACACTCATTTTGCAGATGGTTATGTGAATAAACTCCCTCTTAAGCCAGCAACTACACTCCAGGAAAGCTTGGGATAGATACTAAATGACACAGAGAAAGGCCCTGGAAGATGAGAGGCTATCTTGGACATTCCAACTCCAGTCAAGCTTCCAGTGGAATTCAGCTAAATGAATGATCTCTGTTTATTGTACTATGTTGTAATACAGCAGAACAACCTAGCTGAGCCCTGAAAAATAATAAATCATTGTGATTTTAAGACTATATATTTTGGGTGGTTTTGTCTCATAGTAGTAGATAATCGGAACATATGCCTTATTTATATTTATCTCTACCACTTAAGAAAGTGATTAAGAAATAGTAAATCCTCAAAAATATCAATAGTTTGGGGCTGGAAGCAGTGGCTCATCCCTGCAATCTCAGCATTTTGGAAGGCTAAGGCAGGAGAATTGCTTGAGCCTAGGAATTCAAGGTTGCAATGAGTTACGGTCACACCATTGCACTCCAGCCTGGGTGGGTGACAGAATAAGACCATGTCTCTAAAAAAAAAAAATTGTGTAGGTTAATTAATTGTTTTTAGAATAGACTAGAAGAAAAATAGTGATATACTCATTTTTTTCTTTTCCCATTATATATGTGGTCACATTTCTACTTGAACTACAGTTTTTTCATATACGTTTGCATTAGTTTGACCTTTGATTATATGCAATTCAGAGATTTTTTTCGTGAGATAAGTTATGAATAGATAGCAATAAAAGCAATGATAAAATTCTCATCAGAGGAAAGAAAGGGGCAACATGAAACATCAAGAACACACAAAAAAGTAAGTACTCTAAAATGAACACTGCTAGCACTGCAATATATATCTCTTTAAAAATAATGTAGTCGCCACATTCACTTTGATTTTCCTTTTGTTTGTAAATAACAATTCATTATATTCAATTAGAGTCAGGCCTGTTTGCTTGTTAATCGTTTTACCTGTATTTTATCATCAGGTGATTATAACCACTACTTTACAAATTAAACACCTGGTTTCAAGGTTTATAAGCCATAGACATTCAACTCAAACTTAATTCTTCCAATTTCAGCCATCTACTACAAGATGATGAACAATTGTTCTGTACTGACTCTCTCATGTTTCTGCAATCAGATAGAAGATAATAAAGATAACAAGCCATAAAAGCAGACAAGTAGAAGCTGTAGATAAACTGATGCTGTTTATCATTTGTCCAAAACCATCTTTGCCAAATTAATGAAGAAATTTTTAAGACATATAACTAAAAATAAAATTTCATATAGCAAGCCCATTAAGTAAAAAAAAAAAATCTAGCCATCATAGTTGGTTATTTTAATTCTGTAGTAAATGCCATAAAGAAAAACAAATATTTAATAATAGCAAATCATATAAATCCTTAGATTATTACATAATTCTTTAAATATTTTTAGAAGTTCATTATTTTTAGCAAGAAACGGCTAACTTCCACCTAATTTAAAATGTGGTAAACTGATGTGATTATTACACATATTATATGCCTGTATCAAAAAAACACATGGTTACTATATGTAATACATTTTTTCCTTAGATCTTATTGTCTTCTCCACTTCACTATTATTCATATGTATAAATTTTTCTTTAGTGTACTGATATGTTTTGGCTCTGCGTCTCCACCCAAATCTCATCTAGAAATTATAGGGGAGGGGACTGGTGGGAAGTGACTGAATCATGAGGGTGGACTTCCTCTTTGCTGTTCTTGTGATAGTGAGTTATGAGATCTGTTCGTTTGAAAGTGTGTGGCACTTCCCCCCTTCTCTCTCTCTCTCCTCTGCTGCCAGGGTAAGACATGCATGTTTCCCCTTCTGCCATGATTGTAAGTTTCCTGAGGCATTCCAGTAGTGCTCTCTGTTAAGCCTGTCGAACTGTGAGCCATTTAAACCTCTTTCCTTCATAAATTACCCAGTCTCAGGAAGTTCTTATGGTGGTATGAGAACAAACTAAAACATACACTTTCCAATGTAAAATGTATTTAGATCCCTCCAGGATCATTTATGGTTTAATCTTCTCCATTATAAATCCTTGTTATAAGTGAATAAAAATTTTGATAAACAATACTGGCAAACTTTATTAATAAATTTGAATGAAACATAGTTTCATGATTAAAAGCAGAGGAAAGGTGATTCATGCTTTGTAAAGTATATACTACAAACTTCTCATGCAAATATTAATATTCTCCAGTTACAAAACATAATCATCACTGGCAGCTCTAGTGAACTTTTCAAGAGTAAAGAACCCAAGTGTTTTATAAACAGACCTTTAAAACTTCGCATATATTTAAAACTTCACCTTATATGCATCAGGTACGTTTTTCTTATTCTCATCCTTTTTAATGAATGTGAATATAACATCAACAAAGAAATCAATAAATTCAAGCTGGTGCTATAGAAAACACCCTCTAAAGAAGTTATCATCAAGCAGGAAATATCTCCAGTACATTACTATTTCCCAAGACTATTTAGCAATAAATAATTTTATTTCTATTTGTGTTTTGATTATGAGTCCTAAATCTAAACATGATCAAATATATGCTCTTTTTTTGGGGGGAATATAAACATTTTGAATGTATATACTTGTTAGGTAATAAGCCTTCATAAAATGAATTACATAAAAAGTAAATGTTTCATCTTGAAAATTGTAGGTATCTCATTGTTATAACAGTGTGAAAGGTATAGTTCTAAACTTAACTAGCATTGTGTAATGTTAATATTTCCTGACAATTAGATGTTACACAAATACTACTATTAAAATAAAAAGCTAATGTGTTATATGGTGAAAAATTCTATGTAATAATAGCAAAGGATTAATTAACCGCTGATCAGGTCAATATTCAACCATTAAACACATCACACATAACATCCATATAAACTAGCTTATATGTTTTTGAAATAACATATGAATTCCTCATTTATTTAAATATAATTTCATTTAAGTATGATTCAAGTATTACTATTGAATATAATAGAAATAAGTATTGCTGTCTTTAAATGTCATAGTTCTATAAACCATAAAAATGTGAACACCAGGGAAATCACTATTTTGAACCTCAGTGCTTTTCGTTGCTGCTGTTGATGCTGCTTTCCTTTATAAAAATTAGTGAATACAGCAATTCGTATTGTTTAACTACCTTACTGAAAGCATTTTGGTACACTTTCATACACCTTTCCAAGGAGAAAAACAACAGCAATTTTCTTATAGTTACTATGAATCCATTCCTTTCACAATTAATTGTCAGGAATACCACTAAAAAATGTATTATTCAAAAATAAATGTACAACATTCACTTTTAATAAATCATCATTTTGAAAAGATCAATGTTTGAGATGATGGATGTACTAACTACCTTGATCTGATCAGCATATATTGTATCAAAACATTACTATGCGCCCATGAATATGTATAATTAGTACTTGTTATTAAAAATTTTTTTTAATTTAAATCATTTAAAAGCAAGATAAAATATTTAAATATTTGTTTCTTACCATGGCAAGAACCCTCAATTTCTTCAAATCCTGTACTGCAGATGCATCTTCCAAGAGGAACCAGCCAATCTCCATCAGCTCCACAATACAGTTTAGGAGTGTCTCGCTCTTCAGCACTCTTCACACAAGAACCCCGTACTTCAACCAAAGAGGAGGAATCAACCCTTGGGATGGTATCAGGAAACACGGCCAAGTTACGAACAGTGAAGGGACACTTCTTGTAGAAAACACGGACTGAAACGAGGGCAATGCACGCCCCAATGTCTTGAAAAGCCAGGTAAAATCCTTTCCTTTCTACAGGCCCCACCTCACGAATTTCAGTGTTGAGTTTCAGGATGCGATCACCCAAATCCATCTGGGTAAAACTCTCATCAGCAGCAATTGTGTCGATCTTTGTATACTGGTTTGGCTTGAATTTAATTCCATGGGACTCATCTGATTCCATATAAAACAGATTAAATGTTTCTTTGCAAGTCCCCAAGACCCATGGGATGCTGTTACAATCCCTCAGTGTGAATTTCATTTCCACATAAACTTTCTGCGCGGCATCACGGGAAATCCAGTTTGTACGAAGCCAGTTGTTTTGGTTTGGTTCCATTACATTACACACCTGGTATGTGTGAATGGGCCTATTATGTTCATCCATTTCAGTGATGGCATCCCACTGAAAAAAGGGAAAAAAGTAACTGAGTGATTTTAAACCACAGTGATTAAACAGAAATGATTACTCGCAATTTTTTTTGTTTTACCAAAATAAAAATGAATTAAAAAGATACAAATGAAGCTATTCAGAGCAACAATGGAGCAGCATTTTAACCATGAGTCTTTGGTTGAAAGTACGAGTTCTAGAATCAGCTGTCCTATCTTGCCTTCCTACACATTAATTGCATGACAGCTTTATTTAATCTCTAGTTTCTTCACTGTAAAGGAGCTGATAATAGTACTTGTTTCACAGGGTTGTTGTAAGGCATAAATTAGATATATATATGTACAGCACTTTAGATAGTTCCTGGCATACTGGAAGCACATTAAATAGCATCCATTATCTTATCAAAACGACTAGAAACATAAAAAATGCACTTTGGTTTTCCCATCTTTCCTCATATACAATTTGCCACAAACTGTGGTATGTTTTCTATGTCAATATTCAATTAAATATTTACATGACTATTTCAACAGAAAATAGACATGAATAAGGCCTTAGACTTATTCAATAAATATTTATCAGGCATTCCCATACCCTGGACACTCTAAATACTGCCGTTAACTAGCTGAACAAAAACTCTCTGCCTTTACAAAGCTTACTTTAGAGGGAAGACAGACAATTAAAAAGTAGAAACAAGTAAAACTAAATAATATGGTAGAAAGTAAAACGGGGAAAAATAGGGCAAGGAGATTAAGAAGAGGTGGGGGGCTAGAAAAGGCCTTACTGGAGTCGTAGTGACATTTAAGCATTGTCTTAGAGATGAGACAGTGAAACTTGCAAAGAGGAAGCAGTAATCACAAATAACCGGAGGCAGGAGGATACAGGTGTATTTGAGGAACAGCGAAAGTGGGCACCGAAAGCACCTTAGGTAATAAGAACAGAGTCGGGGAGTGGTCAAACCAGAAGTCTTTATTATAAGCATTTGAAGCACTTTGGCTTTTGCTCTGAGCTAGATCACTGGATTACTTTCACTTCTGTATGTTTACGTACAATCAGTTTGCCACTTAACTGAATAGAAAGACCTTGTTTGTCCTTTAAGGGATTTAATAAAAATATTTAAGCACTATGAAATCAGTTCATATGTATTCATTTAATATTGCATACTTTATGCTGCAAATTTAGATTATAACTCCACTTTATTTGAATAGTTATAATTGATAATTTTCAGTACAGGCAAAACATTCAGGTAACCTTACAGCATTTTTAGCAAAACATGCTAGTCATCATAGTTCATCATTTCTATTAGAGTATCCTGAAAATGACAAATGGTTTGCTATAGTGAATAAGGGTTTTATTGGTTGATAGCATACTTCAGTTATTTATAAGATTATTTAACATGTTCTGTTTGCGGTTTCTCATTTTAACTGGCTATAGAGAGTTACTAAATCAAGGCCAGTTGAATTTCAATTAGTATAGCTTCTAACGGGATGCCTACTTTCCTCAGTATATAGGACTATTATGACACAAAGTACTTTTAATTATCTACTGTAAACTTCTAGAATAATTTATGTTATCCATCATTTAAGCTTAAACACAATCTTTATCCAAAACTATTTTTTGCCAGTTTCTTGCTTGAAATCCAGAGGGTATTTTCCAGAGAAAACAATGAGTTCCTTTGAACTCTATATTTAATTTTACAATATACACACATTGTTTATCAGGGTGATTCAATAATCTCATGAGAAAATACATGAAATTACTCATCTAAATGTCTTTCATCCTAATGCATAATGGGTTTACATTTCTCTGAGGACACTTAAAGGAAAACCAGCACTATCACAGCTCATTGCAACCACAATATGATCATTCTGAATGTAACTGTGAACTAAGATAATAGTAAAAACTGTTTAAACTGTCAAAATCAATGTTTAAAAATCTATGTTTTTACTCATAAGAGAGAATCTAAAATACTCATCCAGTGATTATTTTTATTTTGAATAAATTTATAATTAGAACTGATTTTGTTTCTCAGTGAATGCATATACATTATTATTAATGTCTCTACTACATTTTTACTCTCCCATATAGGAGTAAAGAACTACATTCCCAGTAAATTCTGCTTTAATTCTTACATTTAATATCTTCAGACTACATTGCTTCATATTAGTAAAAAGCATTAACCATGTTCGTTAAAAAATCAGCTCTCTGAAAATATGAGATTAACTTTACTCAAATATGAAAATCTATTTGAAAAAGTGATTTATGAAATTATAACACTTCCTTATCTACAAATACATTCAATTGGGGAGATGTTCAAAAGGAGAGAAGGGTCTGAAGTGAAAAGAATATATGTATTCACTAAATCAGAACAGATATAAACCAAGAAATATAGAAGCACCAAAATATACACAGATAATCGGAAACGTGATTCTACTCCAATCCAGTGCATAAGGACACGTAACAAAACGATGCATTTTTTTACATTAAGTTTGTCATGTTTGATGAAAAATAATATTTCTTCTTTTACTTCAAATAAAAGAAATGACAATCAGACATAGGTACCAAAACAATCAAACAGATGAAACTGGTAAATTTCATTTCATTCAAGAATACAGAAAGTAATACATATCAGATATACAAATTTGGAACTAATTCCCGAAAACAAGAATATAAGTTCAAGATTGATATAGATCTAAAAGCCTATGAGATTTGCCATAAAATATAACATTAGTAGATATAGAAATCATATCACATTTCAGGCATACTTTTCCTTTTGGAAATATTGCATTTATATATAAAAGTGAACCTTGAATACAAGTTTAAGCTATGTAAGTCCATTTACAAGTGAATTTTCTTCAGCCTCTGCCACCTCTGAGACAGCAAGACCAACCCTTCCTTCTCTTCAGTCTACTCAACATAAAGACTACAAGAATGAAGAACACTTTATGATAACCCACTTCCATTTAATGAATAGTAAGTATATTTTCTCTTCCTTACGATTTTCTTTTCTCTTTTTGAGATGCGGTCTCACTCTGTTCCTCAGGTTGAAACAAAGTGGCACAATTTCAGATCACTCCAATCTCCATATCCTAGGCTCAAGAAATTCGCCCCCCTCAGCGTCCCAAGTAGTTGGGAAAACAGGCATGCACCACTACTCCTGGCAAATTGTTTGTACTTTGATAGAGATGGGATTTTTCCCATGTTGCTCAGGCTGGTCTCAAACTCCTGAGCTCAGGGGATCCACCTGCCTTGGCCTCTCAAATTTCTGGGATTACAGGCATGAGCTAGCATGCCCAGCTATGATTTTCTTAATAACATTTCCTTTCTCCAGCTTACTTTATTGTAAGAAAACAGTATGCGTAATATATAACATACAAACTACATGTTAATCAACTGTTTATGTTATCAAAAAGCCTTCTGATCAACAGTAGCCTATTAATAGTTAACTTGTATGGACAGTCAAATGTTATACATGGATTTTCAGTAACACAGAGGTCAATCTCCATGCTTTTCAAGGGGTCATTATAACCTTTTAGTTATAATTCCAAGTATTAAAATAAATAGGGTCTCTAAAAAGTGGGGGTCCCAAGGCAAGAATGTGAGTGTGGCAGCTCACATACCACGTCTAAATATTTTTAAATGATAAATTTTTTACTTGTATAAATGTATATAATACAACTATAATTTTGTTATACTGATATATTGCATAGTGGTGAAATCAGGGCTTTAGTATATCTACCACTGGAACAATGTAGATTGCATTATTAAGTAATTTATTATCATCCACCCCCTTTCACCCTTCCAAGCCTCCATTTTTCTATCATTCCACAGTTTACATCTACATGTATACATTATTTACCTCCCACTTGCAAATGAGAACGTGCAGTATTTGTCTTTCTGCGTCTCAGTTGTTCCATTTAAGATAATGGTCTGCAGTTCCTTCCTTTAAATAAGATCAAACTAAAAATACATAGTATTAGCCTACTTTGTAAAGATACTTCCATAAAAATCTGACAGTTCAGGATCATATTTAAAATACTTGGACTCCTAAGAACCCCATGGCAGCATGTGGTGGCCATACAGAGCCAGCTCTTCACCTTGGTTAATTCCACTTCTCTGCCCTTACCTGACTCTGCCCTTACCTGACTCTAGCTCACCGCTTGTGTATGAGATGCTGCATATGTGACCATGAGAAACTTCACATATATGAACATACATGAGCATCTTATACACGAGCTGTATTTTTTCCCTGTTTCAAAAAGCTGCCCATTTTAGTCTTTCAGTCAACTTAGGCTGAGCACACCAGTGTCACAATACAGCCATTGGAGGACGAATCCCAGCAACAATCTGTGAAGCTCCTAAAAGTAGACTTCAGGCCATTTAAGCAAGAAAGTCACAGGTCTTGAGCTGCGCTATGGTATAGAAAGAAACTATAAGATGTAAGTGGCATATCTTCGTGTCCCTCAAGGCTATATCTTCATGAAGAAGCATGTAGTTAGAAAAGACCATCTGAAGCTCTAGCACAGAGCAGAGGCTTCCCTTCCTAGGGTCTAAAGATGATAATTGAATTTGGACTGTAAGATTACTACAATTATTCTTTAATAGCAAAGAGTTAAAAACCTATGTTTTATTTCATTATTACGCGGTTAGTGTAAACATTTACTTTAAAAGTCTTTTATTACTCCATAAAGTACTTCGTCAACTCTACACATCCTGTGCTAATTAGCAATTATCAATATTTAGAGAATTTAGAGTATATGTAAGTCCTATGAGGAAAGTGAAGAAAGATGACAAAAAGTTTGCTTCCATTGGACTTATTTATATTTTTTATAATACATTTAAGGTAATAAATTATGAAAACCTAATTGATAGTCTAGGTTTGAGTGTAACAATCTAATATTTTATATAGTAAATATAGTAAATGTTCAAAGAACAACACCCATGAACTGAAGTGGTTCAAAGGCTCAGTCAAGAAGCACACACTGGACTTGAACCATAAAGAATTTAAAAATTCAATA